TTATTATAAGACACTTTATTTATAAACTAACTAAAATATGAATGCTAGTTAATCTACTAAATTTTGTAGTAAGACTTTTTAATTGTACTTATTAGCACATAAAACATTTATTTTTCCTTCTAACCAAAAGACTTGAAAAGCAACATACTGATTGAAGACGCTGCTTAGTCTCCAGTATTTTCTTGTTCACAACACTTATTGTTCTAGGATAAGACTGATCGTAGTTTGCAGGTCCCGGATTATCTGAAATAAACTTCTTAAAACGTTTCTCCCGGTATTGGAGACTATGGCCTCCTTTTATGGTATACTAAATTGGAGAGAGAAAAAAACTTATGTCATAATCATAAGAAATATTTTATAATACCTCATTGATGAATATTAAATAGTAGTGTGAACAAATCATTAAAATCCATAGCTTTAGTAAAAGAGGATAATGAAAGAGAATGATCATTATATTTATCAGTTGTTACTAAATATTCAAACTTTAATTTACTTTATTTAATCCATTGTCATCAACTCATAGTGACCCAATGGAGAAAGCAGAACTGCTCCAAAGGGTTTCTGAGGCTACAGATCTTTACGGGAGCAGACTGCCTCATCTGTCTTCCTTGGAACAGCTAGTGGACTCTAACTGCTGACCTTGTGATTAACAACCCAATGGTTAACTCACTATGCCACCAAGGTGCTCTAAAAATGGAGAAAGCTCAGTTTCAAAGCAGGAATTAGAGGAAATGGGAATCCCAAAGCTATACAACAATGTGTAGTTCTGAAATGAGCTTGAAAAGATGGACACTCATATTCCAGAGGAAAACCAAACTTTCCAGGATTACTCAGGACTTTGTTTTAGTTTGGGGTTTTTTTCTTCCCTTTCTTCTCATGAATAACATCTTTGTTACTTCCCAGGCTTATTGGCAAAAGTGTGGTTTTATGCTCAAATTAACTGTGCTGTCAAGGCGGTTCCAACTCATAGCAACCCTGATTAGGGTTTACAAAGGCTGTAAAACTTTGCGAGAGCAGAAAGCCTGTCTTTTTCCCATGGACCAGCTACTGGGTTCAAACTGCCAACCTTGTGATTCGCAGTCCAGTGTTAATCCTGCAGAGCAACAGTACTCCCCCAAATTAGCTTTAAGCATTGTTTATTGCAGAGAAAGTGCTAGGAGTAATCTTACATGTTCCCTATACCACATATCTGAATTTTCTAGACACAGAAAATTATCAAGTGGCCAATAGCAAGTCATTTCAGATGAAATGTCATCTTATTAATTTCAGTAAACAGTAATATTTCAAAAATGATCAATTTTAGGCAACCTATTTGTCCAAAAACTATGGGGGGATGGGATTAAATGATATATCAAATTCCCTCTTAACACTACTCAATGGCACCTAACAACAACAACAACATGTATCTGTTGTTCACAATCATTATTTAAAATGTGTGCATCGTATTAATCTTCATTTAACTTTTAATAAATACACAGAGGAGGTCTTTATATTCTTAGGCAATGTGCTACATGGTTTCTGTAATAATAAGATCAGAATTTCTATGTCTAAATAATTTGGATCTCTAATCCTAGACTTTAATGATTTACTCTACAAATACACTGTTACAAGTTAAACAAAAAGTAAAATCCTCTGAAAATATCTCTTCAAATCCTGATCCTTAAAAACTATTATTATACTCTGTATGACAATAAAATTCAAACTGCAATTTAAATATACATGAAATACTTCAACTTAAGAAAGGAAACCAAGTCAAATCTAATTTCTTTACTTGTGAGATTAACAAGAATTAATTTTCAGACTATTCATAATTACCAATTCTAAATGAAAAGGCCGTGTGTTAGATGGTGGTGGTGGTGGTGACATGCCATGGAGTCGGTTCCGACTAATAGCGACCCTGCATAGGGTTTCCAAGGCTATAAATCTTTATGGGAGCAGAAAGCCTCATCTTTCTCCCATGTAACAACTGGTAGTTTCAAACTGCTGACCTTGAGTTTAGCAGCCCAATTCATAACCACTACGCTACCAGAGCTCCTTATATGTTAGATAAATGACCAAAAAAATTTAGATAACTAAGTAACCATACTTTGTATATAAAAACCTGTGAGAAAATAGTCTGATTGATCCTTGAGTGCTGCTTTTATCTAAATATATGGCTATTTGATGAACTGTTATACTGGGAGCCACCCTACCACATGACAGGCAGAGTCTCATCTGAAAGGCCAGATCATTGATTGAAACAAATAAGCTTGATTACCAAATTTAAACAGGATAATAGTGAATGGCTTCCCCAACCATTTAGTATTTTCAAAATATTTATTATATGATATCAATATTTTGCAAAATATAGTCTCTAATTGCCTCTCTGGAGTCCTGGTGTGGTGCTGCAGGATAAACACTGAGCTGCTAACCACTCCTTGGAAACCATATATGGGATCACTATGAGTGAAAATTGACTCAACGGCATTGAAAACAACAACAACTTCTTCACCAACCAGTATTCTTACTATTCACCCTTAGAGAATACATTCCAAACATCCCAAAGAACTTGTTCTTCTCTGAACACACCTTGCCATTAAATACCTCAATGACGCATGGATGTGGTTTTGTCTGCCTGAAATATCTTTTCCCATGCTTTTTGACTACTTTATGAATCCTTCTTCAAGATTCAGTTCAGTTGTGATATGCTCTATTGCCTACAAGTACAACCTATGAGTATTTGGGCTACTGGTGAATATTTGATTATGTCTCTATAACATCACTTAATTAACTGTATTGTCTGAATTCCATTCACTACTTCACTATTAAAATTATGAATTTGAAGAAGCAGTGATTTGCCTTTTATATGTTACCAAAGCAGGCAATACCCAAGTTACAAATGTCCAACTTCTATTTGTTCATAAGTTGTTGTTAAGAGCCATCAAGTCAGTTCTGAATCATAGCAACCCTGTATAGGGTATCCAAGGCTGTAAATCTTTAAAGGAGCAGAAACCCTCATCTTTCTTCCACAGAACAGCTGGTAGTTTCGAACTGCTCACCTTGAGGTTAACAGCCCAACTTATAACCACTATGCTACCAAAGCTCCTTGCAAGGTCCCCTATTCCCAGGAATTGGTGTGAGTTCATACCAAACTAGGCCAGTTAGATTTGCCCTTCTGAATGAAGAAACACAAAAAAAGAGAAGGAAATTATAGGAATGAGTAATTTAATGATATTTCTCTGTTGAAACGGCCCAGAAGCTCCACTACTTAAATACCTGGAATTGTCTTGGTCCTGAACTTCCTTGAGACCTGACTTCACTACCCTTCCTTCATACCTGTGAGTCAGTCAAGTGACCTTCCTATAAACTTTTTATTGTCCACTGACTCTCCATTTTAAAAAAACTATTTTATTGCTTTCAGTCAAAAAAGGATTGATTGAGTGGTTAATATTATCGATTCAAGAAGACTAATGACTGAGTCTGGACCTCTAACAGAGGAGTTAAAGATCTGCTGTAGGCATTAACAGCCACTATATAAATGCAAATTTTATGTAAAAGAGTAAAAGCTAATATTTATTATTATAAATTACCAGAGTGATAATCATTATTTCTGAAAAGGAACGAACCACCAAGGATATTTCACTCACAGACATCTGTAATTATTCAGAAATCATAGACAGAAAAGATGATAGTAATAATTATACCTTTAAAGTATGGTATACACAACAATCCTTTCACTCTATTATTATGACTTTTCTCTATATCTTGACCATTTGCACAACATTCATTGGCCATAATTCAAGCAATGGTTTATTTGCCTACAGTCTCAAAAACCATGCAGCACGTATCTATTTTGTGTTTTATAGAATACATGGAGTGATGAAGAATACCCAATGAGACTACCAAAACTCAATTCAATTTTTTCTATTATTGTAAGTATAACATACCAATTATGACTAAAAGTCAGAAGAGGATATTATGATAAAATATATGACAAATAACATTTTGACCTACTATGGGAGGAACATATTTTTATCTATTCAGTTAATTATAAAATTACCTGTGCTTTTGAAACATTGTAGTATCCTGGACCTGGAGCTTCTTTCTCAGTGTTAGAACCAACAGCAAAAGAACTTTCTCTGCTAGCTAAAGAAAGAAATGGTGCATAACCACCTATAAAAGCAAAATAGTATGAGTAAGTAAGATATTATTCCAAGGATTTCAGATAAAAAGCACTCAAATATATCCATATATGCATATATATGTATATGGTGGCTGGTGGCTTTGTGCTGTGGAGTCAGGTCTGACTCATAGCGACCCTGTACAGGGTTTCCAAGGCTGTAAATCTTTACAGGAGCAGAAAGCCTCCTCTTTCTCCTGTGGAACAGCTGGTAGTTTTGAACCACTGACTTTGCAATTCACAGCCCAACTCAAAACCACTACACTACCAGAGCTCCTTTATATATGTAAAATAATTTAAAGATTTTAACCTTAATTGTTAAGACTACATATTCAGAACCAATGGTTAGTCACAGAAGCTTTTACATTTTTTAAGGATGATGCATGCAAAATCTGTGTTCTGGGGCTGCATGCAAAATCTGTGTTCTGGGGCTTTCAAGACCAAGGGAGGAACAAGAAATTCTTGCTCTTATGCAAAATCAGAATTTCCTAAATATGAGAATTTTCTCTTACATATCAAGGGAATTTCTGGGGTTGTACAAATAAATCACTGCAACTGTGTACCCCACTACTTTTCTGCTTGTAAGATTTTTCTCAACTAAATATATTTTATATAACATATGGCATTAGTTACAGATATGTCTATGTCCACCTTTTGAGTGTTGACAATCATGAAGAGACAAACACCATTCCTGCATATTTTTCATGCTAAGATTCAAAAGGCCAGCCAAGGTATCAGTAATATTCTCTGATTGTTAGGTACTGTTGAGTAGGTTCTAATTCATAGTGACCCTATGCACAACAGAACAAAACACTGCTCAGTCCTAAGCCATACACACAACTACTGTTATGCTTGAGCCCGCTGCTGCTACCACTGTGCCAAGTCATCTCAGTGAAAGAGTCTTCCTCTTTTCCGCTGGTGTTCTACTTTACCAAGCATGATGTCCATCTCTAGGGACTGGTCCCTCCTGATGACATGTCTGAAGTATGAGAGACAATGTCACCATCCTGGCATTCTGACTATACTTCTTCCAACACAGATTTACTCTTCTGGAACTCCATAGTACTTTAAATATTCTTCTCTACTACCAAAATTCAAATGCATTCATTCTTCTATGGTCTTCCTTATTCACTGTTTAATTTTCACATGCATATGAGGTAATTGAAAATATGATGATTTGGGTCAGGCACATCTTAGTCCTCAAATTGATTTTATATTCTCTCCTGCAGGTAATGAAAAGCCGATTAATGAAAAGTGTGGATAGAGAAACAGAAGCTACTTCTTGAAAGAAAGACCAGCAGGAAAAAATAAACAAAAACAGCAGTCTGATGGCTCCTACAAGAACAAGCACGTTGTTCACCAGAGAGCCATCAAGGCAAGCAATCAAATTCCTTCAGGACAAACCTCCCTTCAAGACTGAAACTCAAAAGGAACACATGAGCAGGCATGTAAGCTTGCTGGTGACCTTGTTGATCTACTTGTGAACAGAAATGGGGGACAGGCAGCTAATGAAAATATGGGTTGAGTTCAACCATGTTCCATAGACTCCCATCAACTTTGAAATGAGAAAGAGAAGAGGAAGGGCTGGTTGGTCTGAAGTATGGGGAGACTTGGGGTGTCCCAAGTCCATGGACAAGGACCTAGCCACAGAGGGCTAGTGTTGAAAGTGAAGCATACAACTGATATTAAGTGAGGGGAGATGCACAAGAATATCCAAACTTGCAGATAGTACACATTTGACATAGCTTCAATGGCTTGATGATAAAAAACTACTAGAGGAAGATAAATTTGATAAACGAAGCAAGTGTAAATTGCTACAATTTGATGAACTTGACCTATATTTACAGATGTAAAAGCTCAAAATACCAACAGACTGGGAAGGAGTCTTCACATCAAGGGTCAAACCTATCCCCTCTGTATACAAGGTTGACAGGGATAGGAAACTTAGACATTGACTACCTAAAATGGGGGGTGAGGGACTATAAAGGCACAAAGTGGCTGGCTTACAAATATTCAAGAGGGAGTTTAGATTCAGAGTGTGTAGGTGAAGGTAGAATCCTCAGTGAATAGTTTTCCTCTTGTCTAGATGGGTCTGGTGAAAGGAGATGGGGATAGGATTCATTTGATTCAATAGTGAATAACTGTTATCATGACCAATTGTGATTGTCACAACTGTAAGGGTAGAAATTGTGTAACAAAAAAGGGAAAGTGGTTAATCTTACATTCCAGAAACATAGGACTCTAGGACTATCAAGAGAGAAGAGCATGAGTGGAACGTGGGACCCTAACCAGAGAAGTAGAGACACCAGAGATGGAGCCAGAGGTGATGGCACGGAGAGATAAAGCAGCTGAGGACACTAGACTCATGGAAAA